CAATCGCTTTCTCTGAATGGGAATTTTTTCTTCTTCTACATTATAACAAATTATAACGGATAAATTTAATAATTTATTATACACTGCAAAAAAAATTATTCGATTCAAATAACTGATTACTTGTCTATTAGCAAATAAATATTTACTTTAATCAAATCATTTTTATTTACATCAAATAAATTGTATTTTGAATCAAATACTGAAATCATTGGTTCAAATACAATTTATTTTAAAAAAACCATATAATTAGTCGCCATTGTTTATTTTTTAATTAATTAACTAATTAATTAATTGGAAAAAAGAGAGCGATATTATTGGTTATCGTATGGTATAATTTTTTAGTTTAACATGTTAATCTTTGTCACGATCGTGAATGAAGAAAAAAAAAGCAGGAAAGAAATAGAGACCTGAAACCGTTCTCTCACATTCGATAAAACTGTTTAAATTATTGCCTTTTTAATAGCTGTTTTAATGATAATACCACCATCAAAACACCTACGTATTTTACCACACACGAATATTCTTTTTACTCTATTAGGTAGAATTTCGAGATTTCAATGTGTGGTTTCCGCCCATTTTAACTAATTTTCTATCGGTTTCCATTAAAATTCCTCTAAGGCTTATATATAAAAACGAGGAATAACTGACGCCCTTGGGGATTGGGTTTATTGCTGTTGAGACTTTATTTAACAACTATATGGGTATTAAGAAAAGTCCTGGATATTTGGGTCTAATTCGAAAAAATACGATCGTAAATTTCCAAAATAAATTTTTTCCTAACACAACAATTTCTAAACTCATCATATTAAAAATTGATCTAATAGAATGTCTTAATCCTTATTAAACTTAGCAAAAATATTAACCAGAAATTTCTTTTATACAAACTTAGCAGAATGGCAAAACATCCATATACAGATGTGAGAGATGAACTATTTACTGGAAATGAATTTATATTCGTGTTTATTTATTAAAAATATATCTCAATAACAGAAGAAGAAAAAGAAATCAGAAGAAACCTTAGGATGTATAAATAACATTTTTTACATTCATACAATACCTGAAGGATCAGGTTAATGAATATAAAGAAAAGGAAAGAGATTGATCATAACTTCTGAATTAGAATACTGTCATAATCAAAAATTAGTATGCGTGGTCACAATTTTTAAACAAAACGACTTTTTGAAATGCTACCATATCTCAATCCATACGCAAATGAGCTAATTCTTCGTCTACTTCTTCTTTTCTCACAAGAATAAGTTTGTGCGTGTGTAAAACTACAATACTTGCACATATATACATGTGTGTAAACACAATGATCATGTCATGCATGGAATCATTTCGTGAGATGAAACATAAGAGGAGAGAGAGCCTCTTAGGGAGGGACAAATCAAAGCCACTCAAAGAAATAACGAGTGCTCATTAAGAGTAATAACCCCCCACTTCAATCGTTGTCCCCGATTGTTTCAAGGGTGTCACACGGTTTAGTTGATGTCCAGCTGCAATACCACGCATTAGTTATATACTCTTCCTTATTATATATTTCACAGTCTCCTATACTAACAAGATCAGATGGAGCCTATCAAATGTTTCAGCCACACTATATACTACAAGTGATTAAATTAGATTTAAGGAACCATTCATTGTCTAAAAGTTATCTTTCATAGGGGAGAAGGAGAAGTTAAAATTTCTCTCCCCAAGAAAAGAAAGGGGAATCTTCAAGTTTAATTAGATAATATTTATTTTTATCTATGTCATTATTATTGTCAAGGAAGTTTCGTCACAACATGGGAGGAGAGAATTAGTAGGGATTAATTTTTTCGATGATTCATTAGATCAGGAAGTTCGCTTCCTTTTTAGAATAATTGGAAGTGGTTTGCGATCTGTTATATTAGAGGATGGTGGTACTAAAACTTTGGACAATCAGACAATGATAATACTGGATAAAAATGATACTTAATGATTGCTTAATGATTTCACTTACAGTTTTTCTGCGGATATCAAATTGAGACAAAAAACGTATCAAAATGTTGCTTCGCATCTATTTTGATACGTTTTTTGTCTCAATTCGATATCCGCAGAAAAACTGTGCTTTGATAATACTTAAATAATTTTAATGTTATATAAACTTGATGATTATATAAACAAATCTGTTTTAAACAAAACAGTACAAAACAATATTAACCAACAGTTTAGCAAACAGTATTAACCAAACTAGCAAACAATATACTAACCTACGCTGGAGAACAATACCAACTAAACTAGCGAACAATGTTAATCATTACTAGTAATGATTGCAAATGGTGCAATCCAATACTACCAAACAGTATTACAAAAATTAATTCGTTACAAAAACAAATACGAAGCTGATCCAGAACCACCTAAAAATTCAAACATTGCACCTCCAAATAATCAAATACCCATTTAATAATAGGAATATGATTCCAAACAACAATTTCTAAATAGATTCCTAAATAATCATTTGAATTATTTAGAAATAAGGGGGGAACTAAAACCTAAGTTTCCAGTGCAAAAATTGACCCAATTTGCCCAATTTAAAATAGGGTTGTAGCATATCAAAAAGGCAAAATAGATAAATTTCTACATTGGATAAAACAAAATAAAATCGAATCAAGTTCGTACTATAGTGAAACAGCATACAGTGAAACAAGTAAATACAAAATAACAATAAAAAGAACATCTTTTAATAACATTTTATAAATCGTGATTATCTTTGGCTGCACATTAAAGAGTTTTTAGAGTGTGATTAGCGCACGTCTTTGACTTTAATAAGTATTAATTCCAGAGGACAGAGGGAATCGCCATGTCATCAGAGAATCGAGTAACATCCTCTCTTCTCTTGGCATCCTCTTGTCCCTCCCCCCCTCTCTCTCTCTCATTCTCTCTCTTTCTCTCTTCACCTTAACCCTCCTTCGTCACCGGATAATTACAGGAGAGCGACCAGCGAATGAGCTGGTATATCATTAACACTTCCTGCCTCGTAACGACTCTCATCTGGTGTACACGACGACGCGATACATCTATACATTATGTACATACCCACGCGCGTTACTATGCGTAAAACCTGTCAACCCATCTAATCGCCTTGGAAAATAATTTCGTGTATTGTTGACCTTACACTACACAAAGTTTATTTTTCTAAAGAATTCAACGATCCTAACTAATTAACATTTTTACTTCTAACCCGAGTTTCCAGAAATCTCTGAACTATTCTACTACTCTAAAATTTAAATTAATTAATTAATTAAAAAATTAATTATAATTTAAATTCTAATTCAATATTTCGAATAAAATCGAATTTTAATCCTGGTTCTAATTTCTGACTTTCTACTCTAAATTAAAATCTGAACTCAAATCTCTAAATTTATACCATTGATTCTTTTAGTGTAAATCCGCTGATGAATCAGGGACAAATTAGTGGAACTTCACTAATTTATCGACATGCTTATAACTAATAATACGCTATTGGGAATAATTGATAAATTATAGTGGGAAAAATCAGTTTTTTCACTGATTCAGATTTAAAAAGTAAATCCACAGGGCAGAAAAATATTTTCAAATGAGAACAAGGGGACTGGAATCAAAATCGATTTTAGCAAATCAAATACAGATTTAGGACTCCCTGAATTAGTAAAATTTGGACTAATTATCAGCAGAGTTCTACTAATAGCCAAAATTGAGTTGCTGATTCAATTGTTATTTTTATCAAAAAAGAATTTTACTGATACAATTAGTAAAATAAAGGTTAATGATTCAATCAATTGAATATAAATATGACATTTATAGTCAAATTTACTTGTTTTAATTTAATTCGACAACTAATTTTAATTTGACAATTTACTTTTACAGTGGCCTTTGCCTTTCTCTAAATTTTTCCCTCAAAAAATTCGCGTCGCGGAATTATTTCATCAATATAATATATATATATAAAAACACACAAACATATACACACATGTACAACCTTCGGAACAGATTAATAACTACCAATTTACCTGTCTCGCGGCAAAACAGGTTCTACATAAATTTCCCTCGGGTTATATGCTTGGACATTATTATGACAACGAAGTCGGTACAAATCAATTACGTTGGCCTAATCGGACAGGTTACCTATTTCGAGTTCGAGTAACGGTGATCTTTGGAAGTCCCTCTCTCTCTCTCTCTCTCTCTCTCTCTCCCTCTCTCTCTCTCTCTCTCTCTCTCTCTCTCTCTCCTTCTCTCTCTCACTACCAGGATTAGGAAATATAATTAAATACACTCGTGAGTCAACATTAATAGTTGAAAATTATGCGAAAGAAATAATGGTACGACTTGATGAACATCCGGTATTTTTTTTTAGAATAGGAGTGTGAATAGGAACAAATTCCTACATAAGTAATTTGATAAGCTTTTATAATTCTCAGCTCAGTGTGATGTCTTTAACTTTGCTTGATTAAAATCTTCCGGTCATTTTTCGGTGAGGTGAGGGGCAGGGGAGGGGGTACTGGGTAGTGTAAAATCTACGGGCTATTAATAAAAACACCAAGCAGAAATCTGTCGGGGACAAGTTTTTTTAAAGTCACACCTTTGGAATCGAATTATTAATTTTTTTCCTGAATGAAATTTTTTTTTCTTAAACCCTTTTCACAGGGAAAAAATCGTTCTTGGGTCACTGAACTAGAATTTAATGACGGATTTTAAAAATATAAAATGACCAACTTTAAAAAAATGTATCGCCATATTCAGGCTAAGTTTCAAAAATGTTGGTCGACATATTGGATCCGCCATTTTGAATTTTTTAAATCTGGCACCAGAATCGGAATCAGCGGTAACAAATACCTAAAAACACCCAGTAATAGCCATGGGTTAAAATAATAGAAAAGGGGTTAATCGAAAAATTATTTCTAAACTTTTTTACATTAGCATTAAATTTTTTTGGAGAATTTTCTTTAGCGGAAGGAATAATAAAAAATGTTTTAAAAACCATTTTTTCTGTTTTGTTTCAGTAGCGGCTTCAGGTTTGAGTGGAAGCGTCACAAGTGGAGGTCTAATGTCACTGCAGGTTGAAGGTGGAACGCAGGTGCAAGTTCCACGTTCGTTAATGCAGGCGTTCCTTCAACAGGATCCAAATCATCCTGGATTAGAGACAGTTAGTCTTTCGTCGTCGTCGTCGTCATCAGGAAATGGTGACGATCAATTGCCACCGCATTGTCGTGAAATCGAGAGTGAATTGTGCCTCGTGTGTCGTCGATGTGGCAGAGCATATCCACAGGAATCAACATTATTGGCTCATCAACGCTCCTGCTATCTTGGCAATCAACAACGTCGTGGTGCTTTACGTTTAGTGCAACCACGTTACGCTTGTAGTTTATGCGACAGCGGGACATCGACAAGAACTTATGGAACAATCACTGAATTACGACGTCATCTTGAGACAGTTCAACATCGAACACGTCTCGAGGCAACAAATAATCATCAAATTGGAAAGCAATCATTACTACAACAACAACAACAACAGCAACAACAACAAAAATCATTGCAATTAGACAATATTCTTAATGCCGCCAATTTACAATCTGGCGAAGAGGCAAATCCATTAATTGACGAAATGGAAGATGTTGTCAATCAAATAACACTTCTTGCTGCACGGGCCGCTGCCGAGAGTACCACTGGACAACAGACCAACGGGAATCAGGACAACAACAATGGTCCAGACTCGAAGAGACAAAAACTAGTTCAGGAGGTTGCCCCTGTTGCCGAAGCGCGTTAATTATTTCTCGAATTAATATTACTCAAAGAATAAGACAAAACAAACTATCAAGAAAACAAAAACACTCGAATTTTCGTGATTTAAATTCGGAATTCAACGAGAGAGAAGAAGATCTTGACAATGTTCGTCCCGGTGGCTCTCTGTCAAAGGGCGAAGAAGAAGAAGAAAAATCGCCTCGGTTTTTATCAGTGCACCGCCAGTACCGTGCCCGTTGGCTGTTATTTTTATAAATCCTGTTTCGAGCATAAGCTCTAAAGTTCCTCTGAATTCTCAAAAAAAAAAAACAAAAGAAACACAATGGAAAAATAAAAAAATCGATTATTATCAATGTGTAATGACTAGTGTGACATTCGAGAAGGAAAAGAAAAAAATTTTTTTTAGCGAGATCGAAGGAGAGACGGACGTGGTGGTGTATAAGATAAGAGTTTTGGTGCGAGCGACCGGAAGAAACGAAGACGTCGAGGCAGTCTGACAAAACGTTCCTATGTAAAGTAAATAATAAAAAGTAACTAAAAAAGTAACTTAAAAAAGAGAAAAAAAAAGTTACGGCATCGTAGGGTAGAAGAACGGCGCGCTAGTTCGCCGAAGGCCACGAGTACGTACGTATCTCTCTCTCTTTCTCTCTCTCTTTACTCTCTCTCTCTTTCTCTCTCCCATTTCTCTAATCTCATTTCTATTATTTCTCTATTTTATATTTTAATCGTTTCTTAAAAAAACCCCTCCCCTACTAGAAATTAAGTCTGGGAATTAATACATAAAATGTATATGTGGTGAGTGTATGAATAATTGCGTGATTCAGTGCGAGAGGTAGGGAATTTTTTGCTAAGAGTTGATTCAAATTTTTTTCCTTTTTTTCATTATAATATAATGAAGAATCTTTTCGATTCTTTATACACATATACATATATATAAATATATATATAGAAATGAATTTTTTGATGAGTTTGGACAGGGGGTGAGATTCTCTCAGCTGGGAGGGGCTCTCCCACCCGTTGAGGTTCACGATTTTCGAAATCGTAACCCGTCCAACGTAAAATAAAAAAATAAAGGGCCATCCGAGCATGGCTGAAGGAGTTTAAAAAAAAAACCCAGCAACATGGTTCCTATATTTAATAATAAAAAGTACATTTAATAAAAAAAAAGCGAAGAAATGATTAATAAATAGTTATAAATAAAAAAAAAATAAAAAAAAAGTAACTCTAATATGGTAGAGGCAAGTATCGATAACGTCTAACGAAAAGCAGATAATTACTATACTAAAAAAATATGGCTCGGAGGATCGTGGCAATGTTCATTTTTTTTCTCAACTCGAGTGAGAGTATAATCGAAAAAAAAGAAAGAAAGAAAGGGTGGGTGGGGGGAAATGAGAGTATGAGGGATGAACGTATGTACACTTGGTCAAAATGGTAGTGACTAAAAAATATTTGTGAAAAACAAAATTTGAAAAACCAAAAAAGCGCGAAAGTTTATGAGAACTTGAAACGACAAAAAAAATCACTATTAGCTCATAAGTTACGATAATGCTACGTTTAATTGTAGAAATAATAATGATTATGATGATGATGATGATAATGAGGAAAAAATGATGCATTTGTAGAATGACGCATAGGTATATATATAATATACATATATATTATATATATATAAATAAATAAATGAATGATTAAATTAATGAATTGATAAATGAACAAAAAAAAATATATATATATATTTAAGTAGATAAATATATATATAAATATAAATATAAATATATGAAGATGTTGTAACGTACTAGAATTCTCGCGGGTACTTAATCCGGATGAAACGTATACGCGTACGTACGCGCGTGCGTGAAAAAACAAACTCGCGAAAAAAAGCCGGAAGTGCCACCGGAAGCGCGACAACGGAGCCTTCGTTTTTTCAAAAAAAAGATTCGACTCAGTCGTCGCGCAAGCACGAATCACTAGGGTAACAAAACAAAAATAAAAGCGAAACTGATAAAAGAGATAAGGGCTGAAGAAGATAATTGGGTTGAAGGAGAAGGACGACGGTGGAACTACTAAATTTTAAGAATAGGGTGGGGGGTGGGAATCGGGTTTGAAAATAAATTTGGGGGACAAAATGACTAAGTATTGAAAAGGGGGGTTAAGAAGATTAGAAGGTGATTTAAACGAAACGAGAAGTAATTTCTAAGCTAAGCAACTCGAGGTTCCTGTCACAAAAAAAAATGCTTTTCTATGTAATGTTAGTGACAACTATTATTATATTTGACTTATTGATTATTATGATTATTATTATCATTGTGATTAAATATTATGATATTGTATTCGATACGTGCATTTCGTCATGTACTTATTATATTTATTACGAATTCGCGTACATTTTTAATGCCTTTATGCTAAATACGAGACAATTTGAGAGATTCGGATGGGGGGTAACGGAGAAAAAAAAATACTTTATCGTCCGGTTGCTGTCATGAAAAAGAAAAATTTCTTTTCGTGTCTAAAAATGTTCCTGCCGCGAGTTGGTCAAAAAAAAAAGAAAAACTATTATTATTATTATTATTATTACTAATCGGTGCGTGTAAAATTGTTTTTTTATATATACGTATATTTATATATTATATAATTATACCGTCGCGATATCGTCCTCACCGATCGGCTAATCTCTAATCATATTGATGCTCATATCGCGAAAAAATTGGCACACAAAGTGGCCCCAAAATGCACCGGGCGATATTAGTGATTGCGCGCGCGCAAAGTTTTTAAAGACTGCTAAAAATCAAAGCTTACTGCCTAAGGCCGAAGCTAAAAACAAAACCAAAAATTGTGTTTAAAAAAAAAGTTTAAATCTCGTCAAGGGCAACGAGATTTAAAGAATGAGAGAAAAAAAAGAAGTTTTACACGAAAAAGTGGAGAATGTTTAAAAGGGGGAGGGAAATATTGAGAAAAGAAAACGAGGCAACGACAATCTCGCACCGCAAACGCGCGTTGATGAGATCGAGTTATTTCTTTCCTTCTTGTTTTTTTTTCTTTATTTCATTAATGGCGCCAAAAAGCCCTTTATTGTGATTGATATCGGATCGTTATTTTTTCAAAAAAGTAAAAAAGAAAAAAATTCCGGCGCCATTTTTCCCTTTCTTTTTTTTTTACTTACTTATTAAAAATAAAAAAATACCGCTCTTCTCTTTCGATTCGACAATTTCGATTATAGGTGTGCGATTTTTTTATTCCCCTCAAAAAAAAAAAACAAAAATCCCGAGATAATGAAAAAAAATGAATAAAATTGCATTTTTATGGAAATAAAAGAAAGAAAAAAAAACAGCAAAAATTTTGTTGACAGTAATCGATACACACCCTCACTGAATAAGAGGTTACGAATTTTAAATAGAGGAACGAAAGAGGCGAACGGAGATGATGTCTATATACATATAAAATTATAAAATTAAGTCATTTTTAAAAACTGATTACGTACGTACGCGTGTACGCAGATATGGAAGTGAATAAAGTTTTTCTTTTTTGTTTTTTCTTTTTTGCGTTTTAAGTTAGAGAAAGGATATTGCGTGATAGAGTAACCGAACCTCGCTACTAGCTGTTCCTAAATCAACAATGAATGAGTGATAAAGTGTGTGCAGATATAAGGAATGATTAAGAAACTATTATTGCGTTGGAGTTGACTGCCACGCCCGCTAAACCACTCCGCTCGTCGATATCAGCAGTCGCCTTTTTTTACCTTACTTTACGTTCATTTACTACTATTGCTCATTAGATGATTTTTTTTAATCTTCTTTCATTTGAAAATCTTTTGTTTTTTGCAATTTGGAAGAAAAGAGATTCTTTTTATTCAAACATTAATTCTTCATGAGTATGACAATTATTAATTTACAATTAATTACAATCGGTATGGTAAAATTTACTATATGTCTTGTAATACTTACAATCTATAGCTAAAGTTACAATCTGTATGGTAATTCTTACCAACTGTATTGTAACAACTACAATCTGTATGGCAAAACATATCATACGGATTGTATCCCTCACAATCTGTATGGTAAATTTTACCACCTACATTACAACACTCACAATCTGTATGGTAAAACTTATCATACATATTGTATTGTTACAATTACCATCCGTACAGTAAAATTTACCAACTGCATTTCAGTACTTGCAATAATGAAAAATAAATTAATAATTAAATGGTAAAATTTACAATCCAGATCGTAATAAGAATAAGTTTTAAAAAATTTTCTCTGTCACATTTATTGAGAAGAGGAAGTGAAAAAAAATTTATCTGATGAGCAATGGTAAATCGTATTCTCGACTATCAAGAGCGTCATACGAGGTTGTCATTCCATCTAACTTCTTACTGAGACGAAGATCGAAAATGCATTTTTCATGAGAATGCATTTTTTACAGGGTCAAATATACGATAGAGGAGATGCAATTTGTGTAGTAGAATGATGTATAAATAAAATCTGATTTTATCAGGTTGCGCACAATCAGTGAGATGACGAATCTAAGGTGATAAGTGTTGTGTACAAACATTGCTCCTAACGAATAAAAATTAAAAAAAAATTTTGTTTTTATGTATAAAATAACTTCCTACACAAAAGTTAGAACAAAATTATCCTTTATACTATATACTTGACTATATTCTACCTATCAATATCGGATTTCTTTTTATTCACTATTTGAGAAGAGACTTGACTTTTCAAAAATATTAAACATCCCTAAAATTCTTTAATCTCTTCTTAAATTTAATTCTCGTTCAAAAATATTATTCCAATAAAAATAAATCTATTTAACACTCACATACTTTCCATTAGTTCCAAAAATAAAATCAACATTCTCAAATATATTTTGAAGAACATGAAATATATATTTTCTAAAAAGTTATTTTTATAAACATATCCTTAATATTTTATCTGACATATATTCAGTTTTGTATATCTGTATTTGTTGCGACTGACAAGCTTGCCCTCATTCGCAATGTTTCTCCAGTTCTAATTTCTCATTAAAAAGAGCATTTCCCACAAACGCCATTAATAGAAAATAGCGATTGGCATGACAGACTCGTATGATCGTTTCTTAAAAAAAAAAAAGAAAAAAAGAAAGCAGTCCGTGATAAATCTCGTCATTAAACGAAGCGTTACTATTTGAAGCGAAAGCAGAATCTCAACGAGCGGAGTTAAAAGCGCGGGTCTCGAGCGCCATTTTTATTAAAGTGAAAATAAGTAAGCGAAAGGGTGTAATGTCGGAAAAGTTTTCGTTGAGTTTCGATGTGTTACGTAATTATTATTGATCCTATTGATTGATTATTTATTACTATTGCGGCGAATTATTATCAAAGAAAAGAAAAAATCTAAATGGGTATCTTTATTATAAATTTATTACGATTCTTATTATCATTATTGCGACTATTATTATTATTAATATTATAATTATTAATATTATTATTACGATTTTTATTATTATTATCATTATTATTATCATTATTATTATCATTATTATTATAATTATTATTATTATTATCATTACTATTATTATTATTATCATTACTATTATAATTATTATTATGATTATTATTATGATTATTATCATTATTATAATCATTATAAACATTATAATTTTTATTATCGTTATTATTATAATTATTATAATTATTATTATTATTTTTATTATTATTATTATTATCGCAAATATTGTGATGATAATAATTATTACTATTATATTTATTGCATTGATGATTATTATATCGATTGAATTGTGAATTTGACCGATTACACGATAAAGGATACTAAATGATAATGATAGTGATTAATTCTTGTGAGAGATTGCCATGTGTATATCTATGTGTACTCACTATGGGGTCCCATGCGGTCGCCCGAAACGCCGACCCATTACCTAAACAAAATCGTCATTTAGTTTCAGCGTTACAATTCCGCGCTTAAATCAGAATGCGTCTCGCGTGTCTTTTTGCTCTCGCAAAACAAGATTACTTTTTTTTTTCTCCGAGGCGCCAAAAGACTCGCGACAAAACGTGCAATCATTTGCCATACATGGATATTTCTAGCAGTTTTTTTGTATACAAACATTTATGTATGGTTAGACGAAAAAAAAACTCTATAAGCATGTACGTAAAGACTCGTTCGTCTCTAGGTTCATGCACAAAAAAAAAAAAAACATTTTATATACAATGCAAAATATACTATTTATAAGTAAAAAACAAACGCATCGATTTAAGCGCCATCCCGTCTGGTTTAAATAAGTATAAATATAAAAAATTTTCCACTTTCATTGAAACCAGTATTCGTGTGTGGCGAACGCAATGAAATGCAAATGATGATCACAACTAGGTTAAAGGGCCGGTGGAATCATGTTCCTACTAGGTTTCATATCTAAGCAAGTAATTAAATATACTACTAATTATAACGATAACGATGAAGGATACGAGGATATTATATATTATTGGATATATATATAAATATAAATATATATATATACATAATGATATGACTAGCTGTAGTCTGTAACACCGCGACATACTGTTTTTTCCCCCCAATTTTTGAAAAACACGCGAAACACAACAAACAAAAAATACACTTGTATACATTCACAATTGACACGACACTAACACACACGCGTGCGTGAAAAATTGTTTACGAAACCTGTTTTACGAGCTGGACAATACAAAAAAACAAACAAACAAATAAACAACCCAAAAATAAACCTAGCGCAAAAAAATAAGTAAAGCAGATGAATAAGTAACAAAAGGAAACAAAGAAAAATTTACGAATAACGCTGGCTCGTATTATTCGCAAACACACAGGTTAATTTCCGCCTCCCACCCCCCTTTCACTATTTTTTTTTCCTTCAAAAAAATAAAACTTTGAATTAACCAAAAAACCTTACAGAAACGAATCAATTTAAAACAACAATGCCTACATAAAAAATAGGAATTTCCAAATAAAAAAGAAAAATCCAAAGATTTAAATTACAATGTGAAAGTGGAACAATTTGTTAAATGTATCGCAAGAACGTGGTAATAAAGCCAAATAACCAAAAAAGGCATAAAACCAAACAACTTGCGATAAAATAAATATTTCCAAAAGAAGAGAACTTTGTTCCAAATAATTGTCAAAGTCCTCCAAGTTTCATCCTAGAAGACTTTGCGAAATGATTGTTTCTATTCCTTGAGGCCTGTACCATCCCAAACCCCCAAATCCCTTTGTCCCCTCCCCCACATTTGTTTGTGACGAATGTAAAACAAAAAAAAACCCCCCCAATTGCGAAACACGCCAGGTACTCGTTGTTTTTCTACGCCACTTTCGTACTTTAAGATGAATCACTCCAATCGTGCCATACGACATCTTTGTACTTGTAAAAACACAATTTTTAGATTTTTAATTCAATTGTAAAATACGAACCCCCTTTTATTTCTCATAGTTATTGTCAATAGAATTTATTTTCTCATTTTCTTTCTATTTATTAAAAAAAAAAAAAAAAACATCTGCGCCTGTGAAGCTAAAATTAAACAAAAAATTAAAAATCTTCAAAACGGAAACTAAATTCAATTTTTTTTGGACCTACCAAAAAGAAAAATCACATATCATATTCTTGAAAAGAAAAGAAAAAATTTGGAAATTTTTCAACTCCAGGCGCGGATGAAAATATGCTTTTTTAAGTGAGAAAATATTGTACAATCCCTAACTTAAGTTAGCGACACGCTTGTGTGTTTCTGATCAAATGTGAGTGCCAGAATGACAAGAAAGTAGTAATAAAGAATGCGAAACAGAATGTATAAGGCAAATTGCTAAATTCATAAACATGACGATGAAGACGATTTCCAAAATACTAAAATTAAAAACAAAAGTTTTCGAAAATACTGTAAAATCTCTTGTTGGAAATAAAATCAAAAAAACTAATATCTATTCGTCTAAAAAAATGTTATCTCCCTTTCAAAACGAATAGATATTTTGTATTATCAAACAGTGTTTGCATTTCGATTAACAGAAATTTCATTTTATTTCCGGTACACATATGGTGTGTCTCATTTCCGTATTTTGAATATTAAGCCCTTTTCCGTTGATATTTGCATAGAAATGACCGATCGCACAACAAATGTCGCGTGACAATTTAAACATTGAAATGCAAATGGACCACTGAACAAGATTCGTTTGCCTGCTCAAATTTGATGTAACATCGCGATATAACGTTCGAATCTTGATGGGCTTATAAATATCGATTTGAAATTTCTATTTAAATTTTTTTCTTCCTCTCTAATCAGAAGCGAATATTATTATATACATGAAAATCTTCAACATAAGTCATGATTGTGAATTTTAATAAAGCAGAATTTTAAGATAATGATGACTAATGGATTGTAAGAGTAAAACAAAACAAAATGAAAAAAAAAATAATAAGAAAAAGAAAGAAAACCAATCAACACTTTTGACAAATTCTTATTCTTTACAACCCGAGAGAAAGCCTTTACCAACACATATTCCCTGTACACTGCATCGCAAGCTCGTCTGGTTTTCTGAAAAACTCAACAAAAACTAAACTGTACTAAACCTCGACGTATTCTATTAAACGCTAGTTTATCAGAAAATTTAATTTGTGCCTTTTTATTCACATCCTCTACTTTTATATTTAGTGTGTAAGAATTTCAATCTTTTTTGATTTCTGTTTGTTTAAAAATAAATTAAATTATCATGTAAAAGTAAAAAAATTAAGATAATTTAAGTAATTGTTTGCAATAATTAAAATAAAATATTTTACAAACCAGTTTTCGCTGCAATTTTTGGCTATTAATTTTTAAATTAACTACTGAATTTTAAATATTTATTGTTAAGTTTATTATTAAATTATTATGTTTATTATTAAATTAATTAACTTTAATACAAAATTTATTAATTTTATTACGAAATTTATTAAGTTCATTACTAATTTATTATTAACTATTATTAAATTAATAAAACAGTACTATTAGTATTTGTTAATACTAAAGACTCAATATTGTATATTAAAAGAAAATTAATAAATTTAAGCAAGAAAATTTAAACTTTCCCGACAACTTTGAAGATCCTTTTACTCTCTTAAAGGTAAGTAGAGAAATTGAATATTTTTAGTATTTATTATTCAACTTTAATTTATTAATTTGAGATTCAATTGCATATTTTAAATTAAAGAACTTTCAAGTAAACGACAAAAAACATTTTTAAACAACAAACTCGAAGTGATTTTTCGAACAAACTTTAAATGACTTTTAAGTAAGAATTTTCAAGTGCTATTTATATACAACAAATTTTTCAAGTGCACTTTATAAAATAATCTTTAAATGATTTTTAAAACACGAATCTCAAGAAGTTTTTGAACAAAAACCTTTAATTGATTTTAAAAGAACAACTTCTAAGTGATTTTTGAACAAAACTCTTCGACTGATTTTTAAAGAACAGATTTGATGTGATATTTAAAAAATATTTAACTAATTTTCAAAAAAAAAACTTATAAGTAATTTTTTAACAAAGTTTGGACAATTTTTTAAATATTCAATTGTTTATTAATATCCAACTGATTTTTAAAGAAATATCAACAACATTCAACTAATTTTTAAAGAAAAAACTACGACTAAATTTTTATCAAACTTCCGGTAATTTTTTTTATCAAAATTTATTTAATTTTTAAAGAAGAACCATTGCAGCATTTAATTACTTTTCAAAGAACAACCTACTAATGCTTTTTGAACAACGTACTAAATAATTATTTTAATTAAAATTTATCTAATTTTCAAAGAAGAACCATTAACAGCATTCAATTAATTTTCAAAGAACAACCTACTAGTGCTTTTTAAACAACCTACTAAATAATTTTTAAACAACCTAATAGGTTTGACCAACATTCAACTAATTTTCAAAAAAAAATCTACGAGTAATTTTTTATCAAACTTCAGGTAATTTTTTTTCAAAATTTATCTAATTTTTAAAGAAGAACCATTAACAGCATTTAATTAATTTGCAAAGAACAACCTACTAGTGTTTTTTGAACAACATTTAAGTAATTATTATAAAACATGAACATGACCGAGTGATAAAATCATTATTTTAACATTCAAGTAAATTTTGTAAACAACATTCAACTAATTTCAAAATAAGAACCATTAACAATATTCCAG